TTCGAAAGTGACTGAGGAAACGCAGAAAATTAAGCTTTTCCGCGACGACAGTGAACCCGGCGGTTTGTTGCAAGTCGAGACCAGAAGGACTTGTCAGATTACCCGTAGAAAGGAAGTATTCCAGTCCGTTCCCAAGGTTCTCGTTGGCGTGCCTGAAGATGTTGGCGGGGAACTCCTTGGCAAAGTCTTGTGATGTGAAAGGAGTGGTAGGGTGTTTCCTGGTCCATTCTCGCAGCGAAAGACGGACAGCAGTGGTCAGGAACTCCTCCAGGCGCTCCTTCAGGATCATACCATAGAGGAACCCACCCAGTAGGACCTCCTGGTTCTGCACGGCATCGGGATTGTCGACGGAACAGTCGCCAGCCACCAGAGCATACAGCTTCCTAATCATGAAAAGGAGCATCCGGAACTTGTCGTTGTCCTCCTTCTCGGTGACATTGATGTTGCCGAGGTGTACGAGGACAATTTTGCGCAAGAACTCGGTACCGACATCGTAGTTGGACATGGTCTCTGGCACACCCAGTACCACGCGGAACTTTTCGCCCAGGTAGGCCCTCGTCTCGGTCTTACTGTAAAGACCGTAGGATTTGTATGTTCGGAGGAGCAGCTCAACACGATCGGTCAAAAAGGTATTCTTGGACGATTTAGATCCAGAGAGACCAATGAGTCCTTCAAAGATTTCTCGGTCGTTTGTCTCCACCAGCGCCTTCAGAATCATCATGACTGGCACGAGGTACTCGTTCTTCCTCCAAGAGAAGCGGAAAGTCATGTTGCCGTCGCTCAAGTAGTGCAGGACGTTGGTCTGAGATGTCTCATCGGGTCTAACGGATCGGAGGATGATACCGTAGGGGGTATAGCCTTGGCCTCGGTTCTGAAAACTCGGTCGATTGATCGCCATGGGGAAGTTCCTGCGGTTGACTTGCAACATTCGAATGATTTTCTCGATACCGTTTACGATAAAGTAACCGCCCAGTTCCTCGGATTCTTCCTTTCTCTGCACCAATTGTGCTGGCGAGTTTCCCTCCAAGTGACATCTGTTGGACTGCGGACACACTGTTAGCACCGCATGCGCCGGCTTGAGTCACGGAACTTCATATCCTTGATTACCTTTACCATGATGGGCACTTGTCCAAGTTCACGAACGAACTCTTTAGGGTCGCCATCATTGATTCTATACTCAAAAGTGGCCGAGAGCCTGCCTCTGTACGTGCAGTGGCGCTCTCTGCATTCGGCGGGAAGGACTTCGCGATTCCTAGCGAACTTATTGGAGGGGGGAAGCTGGGACTTCTGGAGTGCCACACTCTTGATGCGAATAGACAGGCGGTTCTTGCCTTCGAGACCAGCCCTGTCGTCACCGTCGAGGTAGGTCTTGGTGCCAATGTCCTCTAGGCCTCGGGCGAGGAGGCTCTTGCCGTCGGTCCTGAACAAGGCATTGAAGGAATCAATGTGAGGGCTAACGGCCTCTTGCAGGGCAGGGTATGCCGTGTGATCCTTTGGGGGGTTGCGGAAGAGGTTCTCGCGGCGGAGAGTGTTGTACTGGTGATCCCACTCGGTGCTGGTCGCTGAAGGAGCCATGTTCGTTCGCTCGCTTGCCTACGACTAGAACAGTTAGCTAGGCGGCGAGATGTCAAGATTGAGTGCGACACCATACCGGAGGCTATGTCATGCAGGTGCAACCGTCGGATGGAAATCGGCTTTCTGTGCAAGACGAAGGCGACAGAGACGAGGTGAGCATGAACTTCTTCTCGCGACGCCGGAATTGCTGGACCGGAGAGAAGATGCGACGGTCTGGTCCCGGTGAAAACAAAAAAAATAATTATGGAGCGCAGAAGCGGAAAAAATTGTGACAGCCAATCATGGCGTGTCTTCGGTGAGGTAGCTTACCGTTATCAATACAGTGCGGGTATGGGAGTCTTATCGGCCTCGCGGGGCTCTCTTTCGAATAGGGTAGACGGGTCCCAGACTGCAACCCGGGAATTGGTCTCGGACGGGGGTTTCGATCCACCCTCCCGTCCTCCACTTCCATGCCTCGGGCAAGCCGTCGACCGCATCTCACCGGGGATTGGACAGCTTTCCACTAGCCATTAAGGCAAACATAGTTCTGCGGTGCAGTCCTCTCTATTCTGTGTCACCAATGGTTCGTGATCTCTAACATGTCACGAGATGTCTGTGACATCTGAGTGGCCCGGTCTTGGTCCTCGGTGTGACATGGCCCCTTACAGCTGGGAATGAGCAGCGGGACTCGGCATGTCGACACTCGACAGCTCTTCAGGGTCGGGACAAGGGTATAGGGTGACTCTTGATAGCCCGTCAGATGGCCGAGATTGTAGACCGCATAGAGGCAATGGCCTCGATGAATCTTACGGGTCAGGGTTCATTGCCCCCAAAGTCTGATGATGTCCAGACCGAACAACAGGAGAAACAAAGGCAGTGGCCCCCGGTAGGCATTGTTTCTACGAAGCCAGGTCTGGGGCAGTAGTAGCCTGGAAGTATGTATACGTGCATCTATGTCGTCAAGGTAATGTAAGGTCTGCGTGCATGAAGTGGTCATGCTGCGTCTGCGTTAGTGGCCGTCGTTTCTTCCCCGCGGCGTCTCGTTCTCGCCAGTGCGAGCTTCGATTGGGACCCCCATCCCCCTGCCATCATCATCATCCATCCATCCATCCATCCATCCACCGAGTGGTCTCCCAAAGACGCGACTTGCTACACTAGGTAGAAACCAAGCTTAGCTTGCACCATGAGCCAACGGCGACTCCCGATTAGCAGAAGTTACACAGCGAGCAGCTGGGGACTTGCAGCCCAACCTGCACCGGCTGGGGCCTAACAAGCCAAGCCCAGGTACTGAGGCGCGCTTGACTACACGATTGATGCTCTGATGCTGCACATCCATACTTGAGGTCTGCAGCGTGCATTCGGTAGATGGGTGCGTTCGCCTCAGCCGCCTCTGCCCTTCCCAAATTTACATTTGTACGTGCTTGACCTCCCGGTTGAGCTTACTTTACCTGGTCTTACTTCATCCCTCGCCTTCCTCAGGTTCAAGGCACCTGCCAATTCCGGAGTATTCTTCCCTGAGGTATCTACCTATGACAACCAAACTGCCCTTCGACGCCTTGGCTGAGTATCTCATCTCACCCAAGGGACCCTACAGACAGACGGACACTACACTTGACTGCCTGGTCCCTCAGCCTGCCTTAGCCGACCAACTGCCGTCTTTGCTAAATACCCGGCGTCCTGCTCTTTTCTATAAAGCCTGTGGTTTCATTTTCCTTAATCCCGGCCGCATTTCCTCGAGCAACGTCTGGGGCCGTTTTGTTGGGCTTCCCAGACTTGGACACGCACGTTTCCAATAAACCACCAACAAACGCCGTCGTCGGCGAACCGCCCGCTACCAACTCGTAAACAACCGCACCTCTCATCCCGGTCACAACGTCATTAGACGCCGCCCGCCCGTGACGACTTTGGTTCCCTCCATCAATCGCACTGTTTGGCCACGGTCCGCACCCAGCTCCTAGACTAGGTAGGCCAGTGTCAGATTTGGCCTTGTGCCGCCTGCGACACCTTTACTATCACGCGCCCTCCCTCTCGGCCTCCTTCCTTTCTCGACAAACACATTTTTGGTTCAAAGATATCCATCCACCTGCGACTACCTGAGCTACCCTGTTTGCTTTAACCCTGGGTCCAATAACTTTGTGGAGAAGAACAGGCCGTTGCAATCTCTCCGTGTCTCCAGCCTTGCCTTGGATACCAAGCGGCCCGAGACAAAGCGCCTCGGCTCCCCAACACTGGTCGGCTAGAACCCCTCTGAGATTTAAGTTGGACTGATTTTCCCGGTCGCCCGGATATCGCACCGTGTCGGTATCGTCTACCTTTCACCATCGTCCGTTCACAAGCACCGCAGCAAGTACAAGCACCGGTGCCATCCCGTTCATCCCCGTTCATCCAGTTTGGACACCTTTTGAGCATCTCGGGCGATTTCAGCTTTCGCTCGTGCCCACGGCATCCCAAGGAGTATTGGCCGCGTTCCCCAGAAACTTCGTCACAGGCAAAAGGAGACTCAGTGGTTGGAAACCCCCTGCCTTCGACGCTGGTCCTTGTCGACTTTGTCTATTCTCGTTGCCGCGCTCGCGTCTTATCCCTGCTCCCGCTGCCGCCGCTGTTGTCGTCGCTGCACTACTTCCAAGCGTACATAAGGTACATACCCGAGCCTACCTACATACACCAGGTCGGTATATATGTACGATCCGTTCCTTTCTCAGCCCTTTCCTCGCGTCTACCGTTGCAAGATCCACATCAACCCGGTAGAAGCAAACGAATGAAATCCCCAGCCCTCGACTTCTAACCGCTGCAGACCCTGTCAACGTGGTTATCTGGGGTCGCTTCCTCAACTTACTCCAATTCCAGCACGGCTCATTCTACAGTTTGTGCCCGAGCAATTACCATCAGCCGGACCCAGACCAGGCCAGGCCAGGGTGCTCCAGTACCTAAGACCTTGCACCCACAGCCCCCTCCCCATCCCGTCTTTGCGTCTTTGCTGGTGGGACCTCACCTGTGCCTCCTCCGCCCCAAGGACAGGCCAGACCAGACCAGACAAGGTCAAGCGTCACCTGGGCGGGCTTTCTCTTCTCTTCTGGTTTCCGTCCACCTACCTGTTGCACCTGCACCTGCACCTGCACCTGCACCGCTGCTTGCTTGCTTGCTTGTCATCACCCGCCAACGAGAAAGAGCGACTCTGCACCTTTTCCCGCCCCCATCATCGCACAAAGCCAACATCCTGCCGCCCATCAACCATCCATGCCCGCGAGACTCGACTTGCGACATTTGGTCGGCTACCACGGTTTATACGAGACATTTTTTATTCCTAATCTCGAAGGACGTCTGAGTGCATCAAATACTTAAGCTTCCCGACCCAGGACCCCACACCCGCTATTCTCTCTCACCGTCTCGCCGTCCTTCTTGAACGAGACAATCACCGTGCCGCCGCCGCTGCTGCTGCTGCTGCCGCCGCCGCCAACCGCCAGCTTCCATCGTTGCGCGACTTTACCTACCGTTGCGCCGTGCCTGAATCAGACGCAGGCAAACCGTCGACAAGCCTCTCCCAGTTGCTGTCAGCCTTCCTAATCTTATTTCCTCTCTACGCACTCTAGCGCATTGTCATCGCACTCGTGCTCATCATCCCCAACCATGGCGGGGCTTTTCCGGAAAGTTTACGACTGGTTGTTGAGAACGTTTTGGTGAGTGCACTGTGTTCGCGACGACGGACAGCGGGGTGATTCCCAGCGACCCGACGGCCCGCGCGCCCTGTCCCTGCCCCGCTGCCATCACGCCCACCCTGCCTCTCAGCCTTGATGGTGATATTCCGCACCTGTGCTGATCCGCAATGACAGGGCGACCGAAATGGACGTGACGATGATCGGTCTGCAGAACGCGGGCAAGACATCTCTACTCCGAGTCCTCGCAGTAAGTCGACATCTCTGGATACTCATGCCATTTCCAGCCATACCGAAGCGGATCGCTAACCTTTTCCTTTTAGGGCGGCGAGTTCACGATCGAGTAAGCGACATTTCACCTTCCTGATGCCCCAACGGCGGCGACGAGCGTGCGGTGTTTTTCATGGTTGGGTTCCGCCAGCGGCATCTTCGGCTAACTGAGATCTCGTGCAGCTCGATCCCGACGGTCGGATTCAACATGAAGCGGGTGCAACGAGGGCACGTTACACTGAAGTGTTGGGACATTGGCGGCCAGCCCAGGTTCCGAACAATGTGGGAGAGATACTGCCGTGGCGTCAACGCCATCGTCTTCATCGTCGACATCGCCGATGTCGATTTGTTGCAGCAGGCTCGCGAAGAACTCCATGCACTAATGGACCAAGCTTCTTTAAGAGAGATCCCACTCCTTGTATTAGGAAACAAGTCGGATCTTCCGCAGAAGTTATCAGTCGATGAGCTGATTGATGCACTTGATCTCAAGTCCATAGGCCACCGCGAGGTCTGTTGCTACGGCATCAGCGCCAAGGAAGAGACAAACCTGGACGCCGTCCTCCAGTGGCTCATGAAGTGGGCGAATAGATGAGGTATGATGGCCGTCGCGTGTCGCGAGTCTCGGTCCACGGCATCTCGACCTTGTTTCGCCCACTTTAAACACCCCGCTAGATGTCAAGTAAGCGATCGTACACAGTTGGCGGCGTCGCGGTTCGAGACCGGGCCATGAAGCATATTGCGCGCGCGCGCGCTGGAGGTCCGGTGTCGAAGAGGTGTTGTATCCAAACGTGTCTAACAATTTGCGAACTATCCGGCGTTGATCGGTCTGCGACAGCATCAGTAGAGCCAATGAGCCTGCTTGGCCCCATCTGCATTTTCCACCGCATCGCGAGCGGAGCTGTCTCGAGCGGTCCTTTGGATGTCGGAAGATATGATACAGAAGCAAGGCACTTGCCTTTCGATTGAGAGTTTTTGTCGGGCGGGTAATTTTTTTTTCTTTCCTAGTTTGAGGAGGGCTTCATACCAGAGAGCTATCGAAGTGCACTGGTGTTACGGCAGTATACACGCAGTAGAGAGCAGCTAGCGGAGCGGGGAAGGGAGGATCGGGTGGGCGGCTATAACGATGCTACGAAAGTAGACGAATGAATATCATGACTGATGCGGGACCGCTTGATTATCTGCGTGAATCGAATGGCCGTAGAACGGACTACAGCGAAAGTGGTGAAAACAGCTCTGGTTCGAGACAGACAGGTGCGACGGAGTCCTTCTGGGGCATGGTGGGGATTGGGATGTTCCTTGGTGGTTTTAGTTGAAGATATGGGTGAGACTTGAGAGTTGCGGCATGGAATAAGATGGCGGAGGTCAAAAGGTCAATCGGTGTTCTACTGCGTGAAGGGAGTCGGGGAGAAATAGAAATGGTGGTAAAGAGGAGAAGCGTCCGGGAAAAGAAGTAAATGAGTGATAGAGGGGGGAGGGACTCATGGGTATGATATGTTTCTGCTTCATCGTTCTCTCTCTTCTCCCTTCTGCCCATTCCTTTCTGGAGCTACGGACCATGCCGTAGGCAGTACAGCACAGAGTAGGTACAAACAAGGAGGAGGGAAGACCAACTGCACACGGGGATGAGAGAGAGAGAGAGAGAGAGAGAAAAGTGCCAGCGCATCGCGCATCAATGCATCGGCTTCTAGGTCCCCAAAGGGAGGTGCTGCTGGCGCGCCATCATTGGTTGGCCAACCGACTCTTCTCCCATGCATACCTGCTCCTGCAGGGCCCCATGCTGGGATGGATTACTATGTAGAGGCGGCGAGGGGGGGTGGTGGGGGAGAGAGAGAGCGTGTGTGGGGTGTGTATGCGCTGTCTGTTTCTTGGTCTTGTGTCTCGTGTCTCTCGGGAAGGGGGGTTGTCTGGGAAAGCGTGCAATATCAAGTGAAAGGTGTTGCCGTGAGAGAGGAGTGGGGGGCTGCGTTGAAGAAGAGAAGAGGGAAAAAAGGGGGGTAGAGCGCGAATTGAAGGACAGAGAAAAGGAAGGAGGGGTTTAAAAAAAAATATAGGGCATATTTGTGTGTATGGAGATGGACTGTTCGAAAACGCGATGCCACGATGAGTTGTCAGGGATGGCCTGGTGTTGCTCTGGACGCTAGCTAGGTAATTGCCACAAGACGAGCTGCCGATTCTGTGGACACCTGCTCCCGCTGCTGGTCAAACCCCACATTGGATTGGTTAGGACAGAGCTGTTGGGGAAGGGGGGGTAATGAGGAGAAGACTGTCTGTATATAGAGAAACCGGTCGACCCTTCAACGTCATTTGTTTGAGAAGGAAACTTGGTTGGACACACGGTAGATACACACTTACACTTGCCTAGCTGTTAATTATGCGTGCTATTTCACCTCTGCTAACCACTACCTAGTAGTGCTTCCGCACCCGCAATCAAATCTCGTTATGTCCAACCGCCAACTCCTTGCTTGGGAGCCTGCCTGAATGGCACTCATGGCTCTCCACACTTTTTGGTATAAAGTCCGATAGGTCACTCCCTAGACGTGGGAGGAATAAGGTTCGGGCAAATTTCAAGACGAAAAACAAAAAAAAACATTAAAAAATTAAATGAAAAGCAAAGATGCACCCAAGCCAGTCATGGATAGTCGGTGAACCCGGCCGAAAGTCCATCCCGATTCACCATGTAGCCAAACCTCTGTGGTTGCTCGAGCAAGATGCTCGGCATATCCGTATTGTTCTCCAGCCGCACGAACTGGTCAACGTCGCGGCCCCATAGGTCCTTTCCGCTCCTGATGGCCTCGGCGATGCGGTCTCTGTCGCGAAACCTTTCGCCGTTCATCCACTCGTGTGAGAAAGACGCCATCTTGGTGAGGAATTCGTCGACCGTTGCGAAACAGCTCGAGCAGTGCCAGCATGCGTTTCCCAGGTCCGACTTCTCGAGCTCGTAAAGCGGCTTGAATCCGCCGTCACCCATCCGGAGGTTCGCCGGCAGGAGCGTGCGCGAGCCCTGATAGAAGGTCGCTTGCGGATGTTCCCATTCTGGCCCCTTATGAAGGAACTGGAAGCTGTAGTAGTAGAACCGGCTGCGAAGGGTGAGGCGGCGGGGAAACTGGCACGTCCGCAGCACCAGCAACGTCTCGGGGCGGGCAATCTCATCGACGTCTGCTACGATGATGACGTCCCCGTATGCTGGTGCCTGCCTGCCGAGGAGCTTGGGGAAGACCTGGGTGTACATGGCGTTCCGTTGGAGGTCCTCGTAGTCCCACGACCTACGCGGGTTGAAGGTGGAGGGAAACTCGAGCTCGTGGTAGATGAGCTTGTCGTGGTACGGCTTGAACCGCTCCCAGTTTTCCTTAATGGTGAGTGGCTTGGGCTTCCCAGTGAAAGTCTTGGGAGACTCGACGATGACGAAGTAATCGACGTAGTTGTATGTGGCGTTGAGACGGATTTCCATCCAGTCAAGCTCCGTGTTCACCATGAAGAGATCGTAGACTTTCCGCTGGCCGGACTCCGTCTGGGGCGTGAAGACGGGGTATCCATGGTGCTTGCAGAACTGGCTGGCGGCCTCGGAGGAGTAGAAGCCATGGTGATCGCTCTTGTTGCCAAAGTTCAGCCCACCCTTGGGAAGCTTCAGGGAGAGATCGAGCACCGAGATCCGATGTTCGAACCTGTCGAGGGCGGGGTGCTGGCTAATGTAGAGAATGAAGCATACACCTATCGCCAGCACAGCTTTCAGCAGGACCGGCGACCCCACGTGCCACTGCAAAACCATCGCACGGAATGGAAGGTGTGACAAGCTTGTAGGCGAGACCGTACGGGACAGTTGGCTGGTCCAAGTGCCTTTGGCGGAACTGACAAGGTCGACTGTCCTGTCGGCACGACACCGGTCCCCAGGGAGGGGAGAGGGTGATGGATTCGGCGGGGCAGTTGTAACGCTTCTAGGCCGACATTGCTGATGATGCGAAGATTGACGAGGAAGTATGGCGACGGGGGAAGTGGTGGCTTCCAGTCAGTGGTTAGGCCCGCAAGGAAGGTTCTAGGAAGACTCGATACGTTGGATAGGAGGCGCGAGTTGAAGGGGGCTAAGGTGAGTTAGGTACTCTATCTCTCCGAGAAGAGCTTCCGGATGGCGGGTCAGTCGTCAACAAAGGAAGACAAGGTATGGCATAGGAAGACTGGAGAAGGTGCGGGTTCCAAGTATAAGTAAGTTGGCGACCCTTTGATGCGAATGTTTGTCTCGAAGCTCGGACGGGCTCGAGCACTGTTTTACCCACTGGCTGGGAATAGAGGGTGGCTTCGCATGAACTGTACCCGGACAGGCAAAAGGGTAGAAGGTGCAGGCTTGACCATGGCTGCCGCTGCCGTACGAGCTACACCAGGTAGGTACTGAAGTAGACAAGAGGAGCATGATGGCGGCGCATCAGACAGACCAAGGAACCCATCCCTTTCCTGGAACCACAGTCCCGCCCTGCCGGTAACCATCTCAATGCGAGGTGCTGTTTTCCGCCTGCAAGCTGTCGAGAAGAACCCTCTCGAACCCTCTCCCACCCACGGGTCTCCCTCGTGTTAGGGGCGTCCAGTGTTGCGTGTTGAGAATTAGCAAACTAACGGCCATAGCCGTGTCTCCGAAGACTGTTTGCACTTGCACTCTTATTTTCTGTTTTAGAAACGCCGGGGGTTCCTACAGTCTAGGTAGTCAACACATCGGACGAGCAGCTTTAGCTTCACAGTCACTAGCAGCCTAATCAAAGGCCGATGTCCGGTTGCAAGTCAGGGGAGCCATCGCGATATCCTGCTCTATCAGGGGGTGGCCAATGCTTTGTCGGCCATTCATTGAGGAAACGACATGAAATAAAGTGAGACGGTTAGCTGGATCTGGTGCCGCCAAGCCGGGCTAGATAGCTGCCATTCGTTGTTGTCTAGGGTCATGGCTGAACGAAGCTTTGGCTGGGCGTTACTAAATACGTACACTAGCACCTATTAGTGGATACTACCTATCTAGGTACCTCTGTCAGCACTTATTGCTGAGTAACACCACACCGCCCCTGCGCAGAGCCATAGAGGGCGTGCCATCTATCCGTATCGTCGGCGGAATTCCACTGGTGGGTAGGCATCATGTGTTTTTCTATCATACCTGGGCAGGGAATATTATAAAGCATGGCTGCTGTCTGCCGGGCAATGCCGCACTCTCACCCTTCAAGCTGATTGTCGTGGGTGAGGAACTCTGAACCTGGCCAAATGCAAGTCGTCTATCGGCTCGTGACCGAGGGTCCTCATTGCTTGGTATGTCTGAGCCACTGTCACGCTCCCTAGGGTTTCAAGCTGCGCCAAGCTGGCTCTTCAGGGGCCAAAACCGACGCGTCCCTAGCAATTAGGCGGTCCTTGACTCAAGCACCTCTCTGAAACGCTGTCGCTCTTTATTTGTCTGTTCGAGTCGGCTCGGTTTTTGTGTACGTCTGTATACCGAGGTTCGGGTAGTAGCTACACCTACCTCTCTGTCATCTTTTGGGACTTTACTTTGGCTCATAATGCTCGAGACCACTTGAACATTCACCTTAATAGAAAAAAAAGTTCCCCACTTCTCCAAAAACCCCGCAACGCAACCCAACGCGAAGGCCAATCCCAATCTTGGACCGACTGGTTCGTTCCTTCGGAGATCGAGATAGTTCCATTCATTTTCACCTTCCCGTCACCCTTGGCCATTGGGATATCTTTGCTAAGCCCTTGAATCGAACCAATCTGTCGCAAATCGCTCCATATTGGCCACACAGACAAAATGAGCACAGTCAGAATACCTTGCAAGTCTACCAAGTCTCCTCGCTGCGGACTGTAAATCATTCCAACCCCGACGCATTCCGCCGTATCATGATTCATCCGGTCTCCCTCCGCCTGCGAACCCGCTCGGAACGCTAACCGGAGCACCCACAGTTACGTCCGGCCTGCATGCGCCCTTTATACGATGCTGTAGCCGGTCGACCCCGCTACGGCTGCCAATTGCCTTTCACGACTTCAACCAGTGCACTCTTCCAGGCGCCAGGCTTTCCTTTCACACATCATCGCCTCGTCCGTCATCGGGAACTATGTCTCCTTCCACTGTCAGCGATGTGGCTAGCGGGGGTGCCTTTAAGCAGAACACCTGGGTTGGCCACCTCGGTGCTGCGGGATTTGATCTGCGGAGTGAGTTCAAGACCTCTCAACCTTCCTCCGCCTACCTAGTAGTACCCTCGATTAACCGTGAAAAGGTGATACCATGACTACTCCAACGGCCTCGATGCTTGCTGCGATCCAGTCTTGCAGCTTGCTGGATGATGTCTTTGCAGAAGACCCCACAACCATCGCGCTGGAGTCTCATGTCGCTAAGCTTGCCGGCAAGGACGCCGCACTGCTGGTTCTCTCGGGAACGATGGGCAACCAATTGGCCCTCCGAAGCCTCTTGACACAGCCTCCCTACAGTGTCTTGTGCGATCATCGCGCTCACATTATCAAGTATGAGGCGGGCGGGTTCGTCGATGTCTCTCACATATGGTGGTCTATGACACCTGCTAATCTTCCCCTGATAGGGTTGCTTCCTTGAGTGGCGCAATGGTCAAGCCCGTCGTACCATGTAACGGGGCCTATCTGACGTTGGAGGATATCGAGGCCACTGCCGATCTCGACGATGATGTCCACACTTGCCCTACCAAGGTCATCAGCTTGGAGAACACCATTAACGGCGTCATCACGCCCCTGGCCGAGGTCAAGAGGATAGCCGAGTTTGCGCGCAAGAACGACATTAAGCTTCACTGCGACGGCGCCAGACTATGGGAGGCTGTTGCTGCAGGGGCCGGTAGTTTGTCCGAGTACTGCTCCCTCTTTGACACTGTGAGCTTGTGTTTCTCCAAGGGCCTCGGCGCCCCGATCGGTAGCATCGTCGTGGGCAGTGCAGCACACATTAAGCATTCTCGATGGGTACGCAAATCCATTGGAGGCGGCCTTCGCCAATCTGGTGTTGTGGCGGCTCCTGCCAGAGTCGCCGTTGATGAGACATTCGGAAGGGGGCCCAGCGGTGAAGGCGGCCTTTTGAAAGCATCACACGCCACCGCGAAGAAGATTGAGCAACTCTGGACCAGCCTGGGTGGCAAGCTGGCTTATCCTGTGGAGACCAACATGTGTTGGCTCGACCTGGATGCCGCGGGATGTAGCACAGAGGCTTTTGTTGCATTTGGGAAAGAGGCAGGGTTGAAGCTGATTGGGAACCGACTGGTTGTTCATTACCAGATCGCCCAGAACGAAGATGAGGTTCTCCCAAGACTCGAGCAAGTATTTCGACGAGCCTTGGAAGGTCATGACTCGGGGGTAAAGCAGAGTCAGGGGCCAACAAACATCTACAAGCCCCGATGAGATGCTCTCCCAGTGGTTCGATAATGAGTACCAATATCAGAAGAGTATAATCGCTCAACCCAGATCTTTTGGTAGCCTACAGACCTGATTGATGGCGTAAGCAATGAATTCTTCTTACGAAACACGTAATTTCCTTCCCAATTTTCCTCTTCTACTCATAAAAACAAGCAGAGCTAAACGAAGCAGGATGGGTTTGATTCTAGGAGTAAGCCCCGATCGCCTTCCTTTTTGACATTAAGCAGGATCGACAGTAACATAACATACCTTCTTCATATTGCCAAGGGCCAGTTGTCTCTGGGGCAAGAACAAGAGGCGTGTATTTCGGCCGTAGTTTAGCCTACGAGCGAAGCAGGGAGCATTGGAGGCTGGGGGATGTTCCCATTTGGCACGAGCTTCGTTCGGAGTTCCAACGACCTTCGACTGCCGGGTTTGATTTCTCAGGAGATTCCGCTTGGCTATACAATCTTAGTTATATACCCAGCTAAGCCATTCCATGTGTGTACAGTAAACCCAGCCATACGGCGCCCGAGTGTGGGGAACTTGAAGAGCAGTGTGAAGCCACTCCCCATACTCCTTTGCAACCAAAAGGCTAGTAAGACATTAATAAGACAGAGACTATAGCCTCGGTTGATATCCGATTGATAGAAAATGTAGGTGATTGCCGACCATGTCGGATTGACGTTATCTGCTGTCATAGGTCTAAATCACCCTTTCCGAGTGATGGTGGGTTTTGCAGAAAAGGAATAGTCCCAGGTATTTAGTGTCTTCCACACCATGAACCTCGGTTCCACGTTCATCCGGACGACCGGGAACTTGCACAGGGCATACTCAAGATTGGAGGTACCGACGGCATCGTCCCGCCAGATTCTCAAGCGGAATCTTAAAAAGCCTCGTATACCTCGTCTAACCTTGAGCGATGCCTTGCCGCAGGACCTTGCTGTAACGCTGAACCAGGTTTGTCTTTTTCGCGCTAAATAATAAGCATCTCAAAAAAAAAAAAAAAAAAAAAAACCCGGGCCAAGAGATGATGTGCCATCTGACAAGAGCGAGCCAATTAAACCCCAATGATGCTTTCACCGCCGCTGACATACCTGACCACGGGAGAGCGTGAGACAGCGTTAGTGAGGCATCATCTATGGCCAGTCCGGGGCTATTTCCGGGGAAGTGTGGAGAATAGCTCCGAGGGTGCCGAGGTTCTCCGCATAGGTCGGCCCGCTCGGCTCTCCAATGAAAATGCCGGGACTATCGCAAGCGCCAGCACAATTCCCAGAACATACCTAGATGAACCATTTTTGCGCTTTAGTTCTCTTGCCCATTCTTGTTGACGTCACCTTCCACAGCTCCAGCGTAATGACATAGTAGGCCCGTCACCCACACCCTAGGCAAGCCTTGATACCCTTAGCACACACCTTACCTTGCAACAGCTCATCGAACCTGTCGACGCTTCTAGAACCTACATGCTCCCCTCGTTTCTCCAGAGCCAAAGAACCTTCTGAGGGGCTGGGAGAAACCCGGCAGCCAATCCATCGTACAGGGTGGCAGGGGTAAGCTAAATACCCTAGTTATGTAATAACGCCACACAGTCCAGCTTTCTAGGCTAGTAAGCAGTGCTGTAATACCCGCTACCGAAATAAGAAGGGGGTTGAGTGTTAGAGTAAGATACCTAACCGGGGTATTTGACTTTGGCTGGTACCATTGTATTACATAGTATGACGCCTTCACAGCAGCTCTACGGATACCTCAAGAAAGATGGATCATGCGGGGAGAGCTGACGAGCTATCTCCAAGTGGAACCAGCGGGCCAGCCAGCCAGCCAGATTCGTTAAACCCCTGCTCGGTGTGCCAATACTCCGTCTCGTTTCGTAGAATTGCGTATTGTGGCGTCCAACCTGTCGTGTGCCGTGCCGCTAGCCATGATCCGCTACCTAAGCCTTGTATGGCGCTGGGATTGACTCTGACCCAGCATTTCTCTAGTCCAACGGTTCTCCTCGGCGGATGCAATTCGGAGGTTGTAGAGAAATAAGGTGAAATCGTCTGGTTTCAATGTCGGCAATCCCGAAAACTACCCCGCTCTTCTAGGTTTGCCATTGCCTTCTCTTAATTACTGACGATCCCTCGTAACGTCGAACCCGTCCAAGCCTCATCCCTTTTCTCCTAGCCAAGCTGCACTGGTATTGGTAGCTCACCGCCTGTTATGTGATGTGCGTTCCCCCATATATGACTCGTCGTTAACCTCGTCATCCGAAGTCGCCAGGTTCTCCCTTACGTTTTCTGCTCCTCTCGTCTCACACTACTTGTTGCTGTACGAAAGATAGCTCTACTTGAGAGCTCTATTGGAGGCCATGATCAATATCGCACTGGCCCTTACAGCTCTGTCTGTTTTGCCCCAGGCAGCTCAAGCTCTCTACGAGAATGGCTCCGTCATTGCCCCATGTGACTCACCCATCTATTGTCATGGCGAAATATTGAAGGAGATCGAGCTGGCGAGACCGTTTTCTGACTCGAAGACGTTTGTCGATATGTGAGCGTGTTTCGAGGTCTTTTTTTTCTTCTCACACCCATATATTGATCTTACTTAACATTTCTTTGTGTGCAGGCCGGCTATCAAATCCCTGGAAGATATCCAAGCTGCCTTCAACAAACTGGCAAAGCCATTAAGCAACAACACCGAGCTCAACGCCTTCCTGCTTGACAACTTCGCTCAGGCGGGCAACGAGCTCAAAGAAGTTCCGAAGGAGCAGTTGATAACGGACCCGAAATTTCTCAAAAATATCAACGACACTGTGATCAAGGAGTTCTCCCAAAAGGTTATCGACATTTGGCCCGACCTCACCCGCACCTACGTCGGATCGGGCGGCAACACTTCGTTTCCCAACAGTTTCATTCCAGTCAATCGAACATTTGTGGTTGCTGGAGGGCGATTCCGTGAGCCTTATTATTGGGACAGCTATTGTATAGTGGAAATCCCGCTCATTTGAGGCAGTTCCCTTTTTCTAATCCTCGTTAATAGGGATTCTTGAGGGGCTATTGCGGACAGGTGGTACCTTTACCGAAATATCCAAGAACACCATTGAAAATTTCCTCGACTTTGTGGAAAAATTTGGCTTTGTACCCAACGGAGCTCGCGTCTACTACTTGAATCGCTCACAGCCTCCGTTGTTGGCGCAAATGGTGCGCCTCTATGTGGAGTACACCAACGACAGGAGCATTCTCGACAGGGCAGTTCCGCTTTTGATCAAAGAACATGAGTTCTGGACCACCAACCGAACTGTTGAAGTCCAGAAGGATTGTAACACCTATACTTTGAGCCGGTAAGGCGGCTTGGTTTCCCAGACACTAAAGCGGAAGCTGACCACCGTGTCCCTAGGTACGACGTGGTCAACACGCAACCTCGCCCTGAATCTTACCGAGAAGACTACAACACTGCTACAAACAGGTCATACTACTCAACAAGCGGAATAATATACCCAGAAGTTGAGACTCTGAACGAGACCGAAAAGGCTCGTTTGTACGCCAACTTGGCTTCCGGCGCCGAAAGTGGCTGGGATTACAGTTCTCGCTGGATTGCTAGACCCGCGGATGCGACGAGGGATGTTTACTTTCCTTTGCGATCTTTGAACATTGTCGACACCGTGCCAGTGGATCTCAATTCCATCCTGTACTGGAATGAAATAACCATTGCGGAATTTTTAACCTCTGCAGGCAATGGCACTGGGGCGGCTGCTTGGACTCAACAGGCACACAAACGTAGTGAAGCGATGTACAACCTGATGTGGAACTCTACTTTATCCAGTTACTTTGACTACAATGTCACTGCGGGGGCGCAAAACATCTTCATCCCGAGAGATGGCGATGCTATCGATGTCGAAACTAACACTGCTGGGTCGGAGCAGCAAGTCGTCTTCTCTGTTGCTCAATTTTATCCTTTCTGGACGGGAGCTGCACCAGATCACCTCAAAAACAACCCCTATGCTGTAAAGGAAGCATTCAAGCGCGTGGAGAAGTATCTGGACAACAAAAAGGGTGGCATCCCGGCCACAAATCTCGTGACCGGGCAACAGTGGGATCAGCCGAATGTCTGGCCACCGCTGATGCACATTCTCATGGAAGGATTGCGCAAAACGCCCGCTACCTTCGGCGAATCAGACCCCTCATGGCGCGAAGTTCAAAGCCTTGCCCTTCGTCTCGGACAACGTTATTTGGACTCGACCTTTTGCACATGGTATGCAACAGGAGGTTCCACGAGCGAGACCCCCCAATTGCAGGGGCTGTCCGCCCAAAACGTGGGCACCATGTTCGAGAAATACGGCGACAACGCAACCAATGTCGCCGGAGGTGGGGGGGAGTACGAGGTAGTCGAAGGCTTCGGCTGGACGAACGGCGTTCTGCTCTGGGCTGTCGATGTGTTCGGAAACGACTTGAAGCGGCCAGACTGTGGAAATATCACAGCGGCAAGCGTCCACCCCGGAAAGAGGAGCTTGCCCCAACGTGCTGTTGAGTTGAACTACTACGATGCATCCTGGACTAAGAAGTTTGGCAGGCGCGCCTTGGAGGCGAAGAACAAGTCATAATGCCAGCGAGAAATCAGTGGCGATTGCTGTGCGCTCTCCGCCGTAGGGCAATGGCGCCGCAGAGATCCTCTTGGATGCAATGGATTACCTTCCTGATATTACTACATACTTTATTTTGGAGATATCACCTAATTTACTTACTGAGCGAAATTCCTGTACTCGTGTTCTCCTCTCGTCACCATTGTGTTCCAAGTAATCTAATACTCAGGGGTACGGAGGAAACCCCTTTACTGGATGGGCTACGAACGACGAGGAATAGTACCCATGAAGAGATCAAATAGACACAACATATGAATGAATAATCCAGATAAATATACTGAGTTCGTCACAATGAATAGGTGTGTTCAATTACCGCTTTGATTCCTCTAGCGTCCTTAGCTAAGTCCATGTGTCTCAGTCAGGCCTCTATCTGATGCATCAGCATATTGACCCAGACCCCGCCTTGCTCTGCGCCCATCTGCTCGGGACGTTTCCGTACTAAACTACAAGTTCATGTGAGTACTGGATAATTTATATATCTACACAACCTCAAGAGGGAACGCCTTGTAATTGTGCCTCAGCCATGGATGGTGTCTGGGAGAGACTTTTGATGGCATTCCGAGATGTGATTTGATTTGTATTGCCACCACCCTAGCGCAAGAGAGGCTTATAATCCCGGGTTTCGCTAGTCACTCCGGTCTTCGCAGGTTTCAATTTCCCCGGCTTTGACACCCACATCAACGGATAACAACTGATGGAGTATTGGACGACAAGGTAAGCATAGTGGAAACCCACAACACTGGCGACGAGGTAAATTGGCTCACAGAAGATCGAGTTTGATATCAGTTCACCTATCAAAGCGTACTGTAAATGCTTCCTGACCTCGGTCACACGTATCAGTAACCCATATGCTTGGTCCGGATCTTGAAAAGGATGGCGTACCAAGTAACACAGCCATGCATTGCATTATCGCCAAGTTGTACCGTTTCAGCTTCACCCCGATACCAATGAGACTGGAGATTCATGACATGGAAACCGTGCTAGGTGATGAATTGTTACAGCCAGTGACGCTGTCGTCAAAAGGGTTGCCCCCGATGATGAGACGACGACAAAGCCATGGGCGCAATATTCCCACGCTGTTGGGCCCATATTCCTTGCTCCAAGAGTAGCTGGAGGCTGTCTTCTTGGCGCTAAAGTTCTTTTCAGGCCCACCGACATAATCTTGATCCCTATCTCTGATGTCACGCACCTCGATTGAAGCTGCATGTCAGGAGAGACTCTCATGTCTAAGAATCGAGAAAACCAATAGATCAAGGACTCGGCCTTGCTTCTCAACGGCTTGCCTCTTGGTGCCTTCGTGTGTCCAACCGGCCTTTTCGAGCACTCTCCGACTCGCCGTGTTAGTGCTAAACATGGATGCCTCCAACCTCAAGAGTTCAGGGCTGTTCTCGAAGCAGAATCTGCAGAGAGCTATCAAGGCCTCACTTGCGAAGCCCTGTCCCCAGTACTCCTCGCCAATCCAGTAGCCGAGCTCCCAGGTGCGATGCAGCACATCGTTGCCCCGGATGATGCCCATATTGCCGACGTAAGCCCCGTCCTCTGCTCTACAAATAGCGAAGTTGTTGCCTGGATCTTTTACGCAGAGCTTGAGCCAGCCTTCGGCATGCTCGAGCAGATAAGGCGAGGGAAAGGTGTTCCGCATGTTCCCTGCTATCTTGAGGTTGTTGGCAAGCCGTGCCATATCCGGGGCGTCGGCGAGGGTGGAGGGCCGAATGAAGAGCCGGCTTGTGATTATTACAGCACCGCCAGCCGTGCTATTACAATGAGTAACAGTTTGTGTTGTGGAGGACATATTTGCTGGTTGAGTTGACAGTACAAGCTATATAACGAAAAGGGCCGTCGAAGAAAAAACAAGAGGGTGTTTGCTCAGAACAGGAAGAAAAATACCGAGTCACCTGGACAAAATCCTGCAGCTTCAGAGCGTAGTGGAGAGTAACCAACAAAGATAGTTAGCTCTTCTTCGGTACCAAGAGCTACAAGCTCATGCTGCGACAGGGTGTTTTCATGCATGAATCACGGGAGATATGGACCAGAGAGGGTTATCACGCCTTCTCAATGTAGTGGATATGACCCGATCCGGTCAGCGGCGTTAGGTCCGTCGTGCCATATCTAGGTAGGTAGCGAAAAGGCCCGTTGGTGTATTTTTCTTGCTGCGTTCAAGAACCGGCATTGATAGATGAATTCGCTTGCTTCAGTGCCAGTCCAGTCTTTGGCCAACCAGCTGGCAAAGAGCTATCGCCAGGCGGTAGCTATACAAATACAGCTCAGCTCGATACAGCCATGGTCTGTGCGCCACCAAAAAAACCCATGACGGCCAGTAGGAGGGTAGGAGCTGGCTGCCTGAGGTGCCATGCCACTGGCCGCCAGTGGCTCCTCCCTCTCATGCCGAGAGCACCGGCCAACACCAATTTTCGAGCTCTGCCAGACGACCGTGACGTTGAAGACTGGCAAAGCTCCGCTCCACCCATCATCTGCTTTGTCTAAAGCTGCAGCACCCACGCCCACTCGACCGACGACAACCCGACCCATCATCCCATTTCCTTGAGCCGTTTAGTCACCTCGACGGACAACCCTTGCCACCCGCCTTCATCATGTCTGGAGGAAAAAGCCCCATGGAGGAGGCCTACTCACGCCTCAGGCGAGTTGCTGAGCAGCAGCAGAAGCGCGGTGGCTTCGGCGGCGGCGGCGGCGGCATACCCCGTGGCCCTCGCGGCGCCGGTATGGGACTGGCGGGTTTTGTTCTTCTTGGAGGTGCTGCGATTCTGGTCCAGAATGCGCTGTTCAACGTCGATGGTGGTCACAGAGCGATCAAGTACCGGAGGACAAGTGGTGTGAGCAAGGAGATCTACGCCGAAGGTATAACCAGCACTCCCCTCTAGGGCTGGCAGCAAGCGCTGTTGTCACGACTTTGAAGCCACAACAAACTGACTCGGTACTGTTCTTTAGGAACTCATTTCATCATCCCCTGGTTCGAGACTCCCGTCACCTACGACGTTCGTGCGAAGCCTAGAAACGTTGCCTCCCTTACCGGAACCAAGGACTTGCAGATGGTCAACATCACCTGCCGTGTTCTTTCTAGACCCGATATCAAGGCCTTACCCCAGATCTACCGCACATTGGGTACCGACTATGACGAGAGAGTGCTGCCGTCCATCGTCAATGAGGTCCTCAAGAGCGTCGTTGCTCAGTTCAACGCTTCTCAGCTCATCACCCAGAGAGAGATGGTTGCCAAGTTGGTCCGCGAGAATCTTTCCCGACGTGCCGCGCGGTTCAACATCCTCTTGGACGATGTGTCCCTGACAGTATGTCTTTTCGCTCCTTGGGTCTTAAGTCCGTGTGCTGATTTGGTCATGTAGCATCTTGCGTTCTCTCCCGAATTCACGGCCGCTGTCGAGGCGAAGCAGGTTGCTCAGCAGGAGGCTCAGCGCGCAGCCTTCGTTGTTGACAAGGCCCGCCAGGAGAAGCAGGCTATGGTCGTCAAGGCCCAGGGTGAGGCCCGCTCCGCCGAGCTGATTGGAGACGCTATCAAGAAGAGCAAAGCATATGTCGAACTGAAGAAGATTGAGAATGCCCGTGCCATCGCTCAACAGATGCAGGAGTCTGGCAGCAAGAACAGACTGCTGCTCGACTCCGAGGGCTTGGGTCTGAACGTGTTTGACGATCGCGATCAGAAATGAGGCGGCTGCTTTTCGAGTGCGAAAAAAGAAAAATCCCCTGTATTCCTACGGTCTTGGAAGGACTTGTACTATAATGAAAACGCCTGAGAGCTTCGGACACAACCTTCATTTGCATATGCGTAAGGAAAGGGCTAGTTTATATTGAAATCGTGTAATAAGAACACAATCCACTCGATCACTGCCTCTCTGGCAAGGGCAAGATGTAATTCGGCTGCAAAATGGTGATTGGCACATACTTGCTCTCTATAGATTATTCTTCATCTCTGCATATAAGACACCTGAGCCAACAGTTCGTTTCCGTTGGCTTGCGCAGCACAGACCATGAATGTGTGGAAGAGCTCGATATGGGGCCAGGCATTTCTGGGCTAACCCCCTGTTCGTATTACATACCTAGTAAGGCCCCTCCCCCACCATGACTTACTACTGCTCATTGCCCGCCTCGCAAGCTTAACTGTGAATCGTGCAACTCCCACACCTCCGACCGGACGAACGAACGAACGACGTCGAAAGGAAGCCACCCACGAACGCACATTCCTGCATCTGTTTTTGAATCCGTATCACATCTTCACGTTTTCCCAAGCAAGTGTTGATCCGTCAAGATGTTGATCAAGTGCGTGCGCTCCGACCACTCAGTGGCGAGAGGTTTCCTCCTCCGAAACAGCACAAAACTGATTGCGGGAACCAACACAGGGTGCGAACGTTGACCGGCAAGGAGATTGAGCTCGATATCGAAAACGAATACAAGGTGCGTAGTCGAAGCCCCTCCCCTGATCTCTTTCAGGGAATGCCCAAGAACAGAGGGGCTGTCTGACCGTTCCAACAATAGGTCTCACAGATCAAGGAAAAGGTGGAGGAGAAGGAGGGCATCCCCCCCGTTCAGCAGAGGTTGATCTATGGCGGCAAGCAAATGTAAGTCTACACTAAACACGAGCGGCCCTCCCGAGTTAGACAACGTGGGCAGAACACCCGACTGACGCGATGCGCACTGATTCAACAGGGTCGATGACAAGTCCGCATCCGAGTATGGCCTCGAGGCCGGTGCCACATTGCATCTGGTCCTTGCCCTGCGTGGTGGCAACTGAATCGGCTAGCCGGAAAACGAGTACCGGCCAAAGGTGAATAACGTCTCGATGACTCTCTAGCCCCAAGAACAATGGCGCGGCACTGGAGTGGCTAGGCTGCTGATGAAACGAGACATGCCTGCCATCTCTTGTTCGAGGAAGAACGGCTCTTGCAGTCACTCGGTTAAGGGCAATTTGATAGACACAGTGACGAACATGAACAGACTCGCACTTGGGTGCTGGATCTGGACAGGGGTCCACACATAAGCAAATATGACTAGGAAGACACGGCGATAGAACATCCGCCCACTAGGAACAAATGTCGGTGGTTCAATGATGCATGCATTTTCATATTTTATTTGAAAAGCCGATCCACCAAACATATTCAAAATCAACCGCTGTATTGTGCATATGACGAAACTTAGGCCGATGTTGATGCCTACAGCTTGTAGGCTTGGGTACATTCCGAAGCAATGGGTATATGCCAAATCCTGCTGACGTCCGAATTCCAGTATCATTTACCATCCGTGTCTCTCAACGCCTTAGCATATATCACAAGTGCGCAAAGAGTATTCAGTCCCCCACTAAACCAATAATGTGCAAGGCCACTCAATGTCTCAGCGTCTGCCCTTTTTCTTGGGCATGAATATGTCAACCGCCTTCCTCTTTCTAGGCAGCTCCTGGTTACCCAAGGTCGGGCGAGTCGGTTGCATTTCGTCAAGGGATGCGGGCAACGGTGGCGACTGCGGGTCATTGTTCTGAGCAAGGAGTTTGTGGGCGCGAGGCGGCTCTGCAATTCTGCTGGCTGGTTCGGGCTTGGGCGGAGGTCTTTCGACTCTAATGTTGCTCTTTGCCCGAGGTGCATTTCCGAGAATGCCGCCACCACGTCGTAGACCTGCCGACTGCAGCTTTAACGAGGGAGGAGATGGTTTAGATCCTGAGTTGGAGTTGGCAGATGTGGAGGGATTGCGATCTTTGGACCCTGTAGGCTTGTTGGGGGAGGAGATGGGGCCAGCCGAGCTGCCGATCTTGCCCTTCTGCCTGGGCGTTCCTTCGTCGCCGAACAGATCGCCACCCTCATCGTCTGACGAGTCGGAAACATAAGTGGTCTTGGATGCCGCGACATATGTAGAATGCGTGGGAGGGCGGCTGCTGGTAGATGTGGGTCGAAATACCGGCTGAGTTGAGATCCGATGCTCGGCGGCCATCGAAGGCGGAGCCTTGCTCAGTCGCGGGGCTCTGATTAAACCTGTGGGGACGGCCAGGTTGCTTCTTATGCCAACAATCTCCTTGGCCTCTCTACGGGCTTTCTTCATAACACTGGCGCCCGTGGTCGTCTTCATCCTGCTTCCGGCCGCGAAACTGAGGGAGCTGGGGAGGTCCTTTCCTCCCCGACCTCGCGTTCCGAAAGTCCGGCCTGTTTTAGGTGGCTTCGGGAGGAACCTTGCAAACTTTGGATCAACGATCCTGCTGACGTTGTTATCCTTCTTCTGCTGCAGGCCTTGGACCCTTGCAAGCAACTCAGCCTCAGCCTGTTGTTGGGCATGACGGCGTTCCTCGGCATATCGTTCGTATATCTTATACCATTTCGACGGGTTCTTGGGGGCATAGTTCTTATCGTGACTTTCGGTTGGAAACTCCTTCTTGATGAGGCGCAACCAAATTTCGGAGGTTTCGCCTTGGATGTGAGGGGAGTTGATTTCGATCTCGCGGAGCTGGGCTGGGTTCGTGACCCTCATGAGAATGTCGCGGACATGGTGGTATTGAAGGGTGTCGCCGTTTCCAACACTGCTCAGTTCGGTGATGTGTCTTTGGCACACCGCAACGCACAGTTCGGCGAGCGATTTGACAGGAGCCATGATTTATGTTGCAGCTGTATACAAAGAAACTAGCTTGGTGTTCTTCGTGTCTCGGTGCCAATGTATGGGTTCGTGATGGGTGATGAAGGTCCGAATCGCAGTCTCATTGTTGACAAAGACTGGCGCTGCAGATGGCATGGGAAAGATTTTAGAAAGAGTTCTAGTAGACCCTCAAGGCCCTGTAACAAGGAGAATCCGATCCAATGCGATGCTTGGCATTTGTTGTTGCTGTTGTCAGCCTTCGTGGCGACATGGAAAGGCGCAGGCGAACGGGTGGTTTTAAAGAGGTCACGACGCTGGAGTTCCAGGTTTGTGGTGGGGCATGCACCTTTTGAGTGGTTGCCCAGAGTCGGCTTGGGCTCACCCCTGGCCGGAATGGGGATCGACGCACATTCGATAGCATGTACTAGTCTGTGCTTCGATCTTGCCTATAAGTTCTTGGTCTTTACATCTTCTTCAAACGTAGCTTACAGTGGATATTCATTTCAATAGAGTCTACTCTGTGCTCATGTACTTTCAAGCACTCTACAAAGAACCTTGTACAGTATTAATCTGGAAGCCGCAGTCACCTCAACTCCTTACTTTAATTGGAGGTGAAGCCAGGGTCAGTATGTCACATGACGTTGCGCTAGTTTTCATACCCACCTACCAGGTAGGTAGGTACCTTGGGTGCTATAGTGGGTAACTTTAACTTGGACTATTCCTTCGTCATTACGGATAAACCCTCGACTTCACCCCGACTGAATATCGCGGGTTCCGCAACGCCAAAAGCACCTCCCCATCAGATCCCACTTTCAACATGGCAGAATCCACGTACATCAAACCGGAACCGTTCATCAAGCCCGATCCTGAAGCGGTGACGGCCTCTCCCCTTGACGACGACGACCTGTACGAAGACGCCGGCGATCTCGAGTTCTTCGACCAGTACAGCGACCAGGGCTCCTTTGGCCAAGCTTACTTGGCCCGTGTGCCAAAGGACTTGTGGGAAGCATGGGACAGCCTTCCGGATGACGCTGAGATTGAAGTCGGCACGATGCGACAGTGGGACGTTGTGCGCCCAGACGGCAGCGTTGAGGTATGTTGTATGACGGGCTGTGAAGGACTGGACAGCTGCTCAGTTGACTGTTTTATCTAGCACCGCTTCAAAATGCTACTCAACTCCGACCGAGCCGAGCATCAACTGATGCCCAAGGAATACGATCTAGAGATGGGCAGGGAGCTTGCGCGCAGCACTTTTGTCTTCACTGAAGAGGACCTGCCTGGCTTCAAGGCGAAGTCCAAGGCGAGAACCGATGCGGCCAACGCTGGTATACCAGCCCGTTTCCTGCGGCCCAAGGCAGACAAAGTGGAGAAGAAGCCGTTCGAGAAGGGCCGTCGTTGGCAGCCCTACTACCGCAAGGCGATTCCTAGTAAGCTCGAACCAAGTCAGCTGTCATCATAACTCAGGTCTAACTTTGCGTAGAGAAAACGAAGATTGCCGCTAGAATTCAGTACGAGCTTGCTTGCAAGCCTGTTGATAACGCCGAGAGTCAAGCAATCCTGCAGCGGAAGCAGCTCGAGGCCCAGAGGCCGAAGCACACGCTTCAGATCATGGAGCAGCGCGCAGCTAACAGCATTATACACCATGGTTCGGCTGCTGCTGTGGAGAAGTTCGGCTCTTTCATCGTGAGTAGCAAATAATCAGTGCGTTGTGTTTCACCGCTAACGCAGCACAGAAAACATCTGCACCCACGAAGGCCACAAAGCCCAAAAAGGCCGAGAACAGAGCTGCCCGTATGTCGGAGGAACAGCTTCTCGACGGTCTCATGGAGGCTTTCAGAAAGTACGAGTATTGGAAAATGTCAATTCTCAAGGCCAGATTCGACCAGCCCGAAGCTTTCTTGCGCCAGACTCTGGAGAAGATCGCGGTGCTCAACCGGTCGGGTATCCACGCCAATGAATGGTCTCTACAAGAGCATTTGAAAAGTATGGCTTCCGGTGCAACCAGCGAGACCGCCCCAGAAGAAGCCGCCGCTGAAGATGACGATGAGGAAGTGGCTATGGAGGATGTTGTATAAATGATTGTACTGTTATCACATGGTTTGCGGACTTCAAAGCCTGAAAGGCATTGCATGGCGTTTGGATGGGCACTGCTCGACTTTGTTCGAGGGTGGTTTGCTACTTTCAGGGATCTGGAGACTTTGATACCCTTGGAGCACTGGGCTACGACACGTGTCGAAAGACATACTTGGCCGCTACTCGACGTACAGGCTTCGGGACGGGAGGCGAATAGATCACGCATTTCGCGTTCTCGTTAAAAGCTTTTCGCAACGTTTTTGGTGAAGTGTTTTCTGCAGTGTTCAACATCATGCGCCCGGTCTTGGAGCACCCCGGTTGTCTCCGTGATTGGAAGATCGCCTCTCTTCAAAGTGGGGAACCCACCAACTTCATCCTTACAATACGACATGTCACGGTTGATATGTCTGCGTATTCATTCCAACACCAGGCGTGCATACATTTCCAGAAGAGCCCTTTGCCTCTATTCGGTCCCTACCATCGCAATCATGCCTCGGAAAACGCTCAACCTTGTCTTTGACTTCGATGGGACAATCACCACAAAGGACACAATCGGTACCTTGGCACAGATTGCTTTGCGATTCCAGAATGAACGCGGCATCGACCTATCTTCCGCATGGCAGCAGATACTCAAAGACTACGGTCAAGATCACACGCACCATATTTCCACATATAAGCCTGTCGCAAACGATCGTCTCTCTCTCCGAGAAGAGCTCGCCTATCTGCGGGGTCTAAGCGAAGTTGAGCTGCGATCTGTTCAGCGTGTGGAGCAGTCAGGGTTATTTCGGGGTATCAGAAGAGAAGACCTTGTGAAAGCTGGGGATGTCGCACGAACGGAAGGGACAGTGAAGCTACGTGATGGGTTTGCGAAGCTTATGGCCGTGGCCAAAGACAATGGATGGACCGTCTCAGTGGTTTCTGTCAACTGGTCAAGGTCCTTCATTAGCGGCGTCTTGTCGGACTACAGCTTCAATATTGTTGCCAATGAAATCGAGATGGATGGAAGCATATCTGGGCCAGACGTGCTCGGGCCACCGTCGCGAGAGACTACATTAACGACTTGTGAGGATAAGCTGCGCGCTTTGCGTGCCTTGGCCACTCGTCAGGGAGTGGAGGATGCCGGGGCCTTCGTCTACTTTGGTGACTCTACAACGGACATAGAGTGTTTGCTGGAGACCCGTGGCGTCGTAATGTCGTCGGGGCCGGACTCAAGCTTGATGACAACTCTGCGGAGGGTAGGATACGAGGTGCCGCAGGTTGATGAACACCGTCCCTCCAGTGACATTGCATGGGCCTCGACGTTTGTGGAAGTTTTGACGAGTGGCTTTCTCACTTCGAGGATTGATTGAAAAATCGAGGGCTACCGAAAAGATTCAAATACTGCCCGAAAAGGACTTTATCAGCAACCGCTTGCGATGATGCTCATATCCTGCGTCTGGCTCTTTGTTTGCAGAACTGGGGCCTGTAAGGGCACTCGACAGTTGCCTAACCTGTGTCTAAAACAAGGCAGTTGAGACACTAGAAGCTTCAATATTCCATTGTTGTCCAGAAAACCCATAAAAGGGGTGAGGGGGGATCACGTTTGCTGTTCAGACATTCATATAGTTGCCGTTACGAAGGATATAAACATCCACAGCCGTCAGCCAGATTTCAGGATTCATATCAGACTCGCCGAGTACTCAGCAACAAAACCAACTGTACAGACTCGCTCGTCCCTACGTTTACAAAAGTGTTCATCCGGAACCATGTGCTTTTATCGTGGAACCGTTTACAAGTGCAATCACAGCGAGATCGGTAAGAAGGTTTCTGACTGCAAAGATCAGCGGGACTTCCTTGCTGGCACTACGAAAGACAAGAATGCGTGCGCCGAGCGCCGGATTCATTCGATGAACCGTGTCCGCGTTGATGCCAACTGCAGAAAGTGCCAGCGTCTCGATGCACTCAAGACCCGCACAAGAAATACGTTTTTGAGTCTTCAGGAGAACTTGGAGAAACGCAAGGCTGCTGCCGGCAAGTATGACATGGAGACACCTAAGGCTGGAGATACTGATGAGGCTGACGAGTAACTCAAAGATGGCTCGTCTTCTGATGTTGCCCTTGATGATTTTGCGCCTACCGGGAAGGAAAATGCATTTGCCCTGTCTAGCGAAGCCCCTTAGCCAGTCGAGATCTCCAATGATGCCTTCCAATACCACTGAGAACATTTTCTAAACCCATACCCCCGTCATATACAATAACCTCTATAAGCTATGTAAAATACTGTAGAAATGGAAGTGGCGTAACGGTATTCTGTGTTTCTGATCCAGATCGCTTAAGCTAGCTTGTCGTGTTCAACTGAGTTGCCGACAAACTGCTCCAAGAACTTTTACCACGGCGTTTTGGGTTTCCCCCCATCATCCACATTTGTTATGTCTTCTTTCATCACATTCAGAAACCCACTTTCCAGGATGACGCCGTCGATGGAGTAGTACTCAATGCCATGGTCCCCCCTTCGCTGTTTCCAACATATGAATCAAACCGACAATCGTGTTGACGGCATCTTCGTTTCAGTTCTGGTCATCTTCAGTCTCATATTTTCCTAGGGTCGTGGGTCCCGGAAAAGTGAACCTGATTTGGCCACCGAGCACTTCTCGCTCAATCATGGCTCCATGTACCCTCTCATGCACCCAAGAACTGACGGAAGTCTTCTCTGCGACTGTGAACAACAGTGCTGTTTTGGGAAGTCTTCAAATGCAATAGAGATTTCTGTATCTCAGACGCGGTTTCATGTGTTGCCGATGGCAAGAATTCGTCGCGACATAACGGCGGCTCTGTGAGCAACAGTGTTTGCCTCCTCCATGCTATGCGTCTGCATCTGACATCAGTATGTAGCGATGAGAAAGAGAGGCTATGTGAAGCTTACGATGAGCAACAATGAGCGATCTGGGGAGATTTGGCGGGTGATCTTCAAGAACGCTTGCTTGGCCACGGCGCCCATGGCTGACGTCGGCTCGTCCAATACAAGGACTGGAGATGCGCCTAAGATTGATTACCAAGCGCTGTTTCTGGGACCTCGGAAAAGGGTCAGAGCATACCCATCAATGCTATGGCGAGACTCAATGTTTGCTTGTTCCCACCCGAGAGCTTAGGGGATGGTCGGTTGGCAAACGGTGACAGGCCCAGCTTTGCCATGATTATGTCAACATTCCACTGAACATTCTCGACGCCCTCGATCTTTGCGAAGAAAATCAGATACTCTTTGGTGTTCAACAAGTCCAGGGCATCGTACTTGGCGCAAGCTTTGAATATTTATCATTTCCATCGTTCCAAAACGCCCTGGTGGGTGTGAGTTTACAGCCGAGATGCCTCTGTGCAGAGACACTCATTGCGTCCTCTTCGTAGAGATATCCGTTGCCGTAATCTTCCGTCAGCTCTTCTCGGATCAAGTCGATCGACGTCAACTTGCCCGCGCCACTAGATCCAATGGGTGCCAGTAACTCGCCTTTACCAATCCCGATAGAGATATCCTTGTCCGTGACATTCTGTCCAAGGGGCTTTGTGAGGTGCAAGGCTCCCAGAGTGTCAGCTGTGATCTCGATTTGGACCTTTTCCGTCCTTACTTCGTCACTTGGGAATCCTGGTAACTTTTCCGGGTCTGCAATCAAAGAACTATGACCGCTTCAACACTTTGAAACGAGTGTTACCTTTCCGACCACACAGGAATACCGAACAACGCGGCGACTTGAACAATCAAAAACAGGACTGGTCCACCATACGCACAGATTGGGGAGGCTGGTATGATTGCACTATTCCAGTAACTTATCTCCATGGCGTTGAGTCCGAAGGCGACTGATCTAAAGACGCTGCCGATGGGAAAGAATATGTTCAATCCAAAGGTTGTCGCTGTCATCACACCATCCGTCTCTGCAGTGTCAACGAAGGCGTTAGGCCCCTAGGTAATGGTCAACCACGATCTGGCTCATTCTGAAGGGGGCTGTGACTGAGTGTGCTCACTAGGAATGCAACAGCAACAATGGCGAGCATGGGCGTGTTCAGGGAAGATGTTACGAGAAACGCTCATGTCCCGGTCTTGTACAGAACCGACACGATGTAGCTGAGAGAAGGGCCACTAGGCCATAGAGAGCCAGGATTGGAAACATCAGCCAAGTACCACCATTCCAGAGGTGCATCTTGCTCCTGGGATGAGAGGCAATAGCCAAAGAGATGGAAGAAATAAAAACCAAGTCGAACAAGGCGTACGCACCCCGCAGAGGTGCTCTTCTATCCCCGTTGTCGTAATCGACCGCTCGCATTTTCCGGCTCTTTCAATAGAGGGATACAGATCGAAAGCTACAGGGTACACAGCCGGCATTAGACAGAAAATTGTTGCATAAAACATGTTAGAGTTTGCAGGTCGCTTTGGATTCCAAATCATCCGGGGTTGCTGTGTCATGAAAGAAGACAACTTACTGCTGGCATTTCACCCATTGTGCCATAACATGCTGATCTCAGAGCCGCTGTGAATCTGGCTGTACAGATTGACAAGCCTCATGCCCTATATCCAGCGAATGTCGCAATGACAGGGTTTCTCATGTTGCTTTTCATGAAGATGCCACCCGGCAATATACTCCCGCCTTGTTCTCATTTTAGTGTTTCATGAACTCGTATAGTGTTGCAACGGGCCTGACCCATTCGGCATACGGATACGATTAAATATCCATTCTTTTTCATGAGGTTGTATAGTGATTCATTCAGAGAAGAAGGGCTGCCAAAAAGCAATCCAGGTGAGGGTTTCAACACCCCATCAATCACGTCCCCCTCCCCCCCAAACGAGGGGTAGAACTCGTTTCCGGAGTAGAGAGTTGGATGTATGCCAGCGCAAAGGTGTGCCGTATACCCTTTCAGAATATCGGAAGATGAAGCAGTGACGGCTATGGTTAGTGTCAGGACGTATACGTAGGGCCACCGGTATCTAATCAAGACGACGATTCTCTTCCAGAAGAGAGTATTCACTTGTGACCAGAATGTATCCTCCACCATGAAGCTGCTTTAGAGCTGTAGTCGGTCTACAGCACTTGACCTGTCCTTTGGACAGAATCGCAATTTCATCTGCAAGAACCTCAACCTTGTCCAGAAAATGTGTCGTAAAGAGACACTTCGCTGGCTTCGCTGCACCAGGAGGAAGTCTTCTGGAAAGGAAATCCTGATTTGCTGAATAATTAGTTGTTCTACTAGCGAGATCGCAGCCGGCAATGAGCTGCTTGAGCTTTGTGCTGATATAACTGCCACCTTTGATACAAGTCCAAATACCGAGATGCTTCTCTACTATGAGTTCTGGCTAGAGAGAGTGTATTTTTGAGGACAGATACCTTGGAACGATTAGTCAATGCTTCTGAAATGGGAACAATCCGGGGGTATCGAGTGACGAACCCAACTGTAGACGGAGTGCGTCGATATGGACTGCGCCACTGAGGCCTGCCATCATTTGCGAATTAGTGGTCTTCTCGGGACGATTGGGGCCAATAAGGCAGAGGATTTGACCTCTGTGCCCCAGAAGGCCGACACCGTTTACAACACTGCAAGATGCTCGCTTGCTTCAGTAACCAACTCTTCAAGCAAGAGGTGGTGAGAAAGTTTTCTGGAGGTCCTTAGCCTGAACTGCGATCGACCTTGCGCGTCCTTCTTCTCCAGCAAAAGTCCGTCCCTTATACGTAATGCCATGTACATATGTCTCGACCAGCATAGCTGGCAGATGATAGAAGACAACAGCCACGATCAGGAGCGACAATAATGTGCTTCCACTTACTAGAAGTCGGTTTTGCGCCGAGACAGCCGGGGAAGGCATGTCACTCAACATTGCAGGCTACAGATTGCCCTCCCAGCATGGCATGAATTGAACAAAGTAGAAGTGGTTTGAACTTGGAAAGAAAAGAGACATAAATATGACGGTCACCTTAGAGGGTTTATCCAGACCCATCAACAGAGCGCCAACAGATAGTGTCAGGGAGGCCCCAGAGACGCAGATGGGCGCCGTGCGAGCTTGCCAAAAGACAGTTGAGCTGTTGACAGTCAGACCGAGGATAACCTGCCACATGATGGGAATCGTGGCGCTGCTCGTTGACCAGAGGGTATTCCAGTGCTTGGCGCCAAGGATAACCCACAGAGGAAGGTAGATGGGATTGAAGATTGCGAGATACAACAACACCCGAACAGTGGCGTTGCTGTCCGTAGCATCAACCAGTTGTGGCATCCCGTTCTCACGCTCTTGGGTTATTATCAATATGGTGAGATGGAAAAGTTGTTTAATGAAGCCGAGGAAGAAGGCAAAGCGATAAACATTGGAGATCAGCTTTTGCCAACTAGAATGAAAACTTCGGTTCCACTACTCCTGGGACCTGCCAGAGAAGAGAAATGTGGCGGGGTCGGTATTCGAGTTCGTTACTGCATTTCCACAGCTACATGTAGGGGCCAGAGTAAACTTTCCAAAGTTACCATTATGCTGGAACACGTACGGGACTCCTCGTCTGGCCGAGTCCGCTCTAATGTTGCATTTAAAATGATGAAATCCATCGATAGTGTCAAAAGAAGTCGTCTGCGGCGAGTCTCTGAAGGCGACGGAAGCGTGGCAGCCGCTGATGCCTCGAATGTTGGTGAGCCTCGGTTAGGAGACCCAGTTCGTCGTTTAAGTACCGAACACTGTGTGAACACAGTAGCAACCAGAATCAAGTATGCCTTGACGATGACTAGCAGGTTCCCGCAAAACAGAGCCAACCATGACAACCTCCCCATGATAATGCTGATGGTGACGACCCGACCCAAAAGAGCAAACGGTCGGTGGAATAGCATGTACATGCCATCAAACCTGGAAGCTCCGTTGCAGAGGGCGATGGGCCATAAATATATGTCACCAGGACTACTTCATGAAGGTTCATGCCCATCCTGCAAGCTGGCGGCAAATAGATAAGATGGCGTTACTCAACCTCCGGTTCTCTTCGCGAAAGCTTCTTCCAAAACCTTTGATGGCGCCCTACGAATGCCGCAGAGACTGTCTAACCGTGGGTGGGGAATACAGGCGACTGGGTTGCGTGATCAGTCCTGGACAAATTTGTTACCCTCTATTCCGATACCAAAGCCTCTACGGTACCTTGTCGGCGGCAGGCGCCAGGACTATCAATCAAAGAACTCCTTAGCGGTAGAGGGGAGAAAGACACCACACGGCACCCTTTGGCTTTGCTTCCTAACCGGAGCCTCGAAGGGCCAAAAGGTGCGTCGAAATACAAAGTCAACATAAAGTCCACCGGTTGACAATCTCCCCGAATGCCGGCCCAACACTTTCTCGTCCGGTATGCATGCCACCGCGGATCCGACCTTCCAATCTCTCCACCGATAAGAGCTGGCCATAGAGGTATTGTATGGTGCGATTTTCATAAGATAACGAGCATGTATCGGCGCTCAAACGCATCAGTACCCATGTGCAGCCAGATGTCAGCCTCAGGGTTCAACGGACGAAGGTCACACACACAACGGAGTTTGTTGAGCTCAAAAGCAGCCACATATTGTTAGTCGCTTCGTTCAAACGATGCAGTAGAACAGCACCCTTGTCATGACTATTACTCATGGGTGTTGATACGTAAGGGTGCGGTTAGATACTAGAATACCGTAACAAGGGTGTCTCTAGAAGCCGCTTGGGTGCAATGTCGATCAGTAGACATGTAGAACGGAATCAACCAGTCATAATGACTCTGGCTGGATAATGGCGAGTAGCTGCGGTCAAAATAAGAAAACCATAACTCCCCGTAGCAGAACCTACTTCCGGGCCTGGAGACGGGTCATGGCACAATGATCGTGTGGGGTTGTTGGTATTGGAGTCTCGGTTGGCAGAAGTCAAGTCCGAGCGGTGTACGCAGCTGCAAAAGGCAATGGGACATCCGGCGGCAAGAAGACAGGACGAGACAGATCAGATACGGCTGGGTCAGGTGTCAGGTTTATCGGGACGAGTTGCAGAACCAACAAGCGGTCAGAAACCTGCATGGAAAATCAGCAAAGCGGCAGGAAGGCAGGTTAGCATGCCGGGAATGTCTGTGGATGCGCGAGAAATGGACGCGCCTGAAGCCCGAAGCTCTGCTGCAGCGACTGCAAGGAGACACGAATGAAAGGAGGCGGGCTTCCCAGGATTCTCAAGGCCAAGGGTGTTTCCGTGTTGTTGCAACTCCCATCTGATGGAATGAAGGGTCTTGGATTGGACCAGCCGCAAACAGCAAACTTGCGAGCTTCACATAGCCCCGGATTGCTACGGTGACGGCAGAATCGGCTAGCCATGAAAGGGACGGGCCCCTGGGCCAAGCAGTTCAGCCCAGAAAGTAGCAGCATGAGGCAAAGACACAGATCATTATCATTGTGACAGCACACATCTGCCGGACGTCAGGGCCGGTGGAAATAGGGTGTAGAAGGAGGCGTGGGTACTTTGAGCTGTCAAGCTGTGTAATGCAGAGAATACTGGAGCGGATCGAGAAAGTTAGGGTAGATGTTTGGCTACGGCTGAGATAGTTGCAATTGGAAGTTGAAGAGGCTATGTGCATAATGCCGGGCAGTTCAACTTCTGTGGCATGATATTTGGCGCACCAGAAAACGGTGTCTGCCATATGCGCAGAAATCAGGGCCTAAGCATCTGAGTGTGCAATCACCCGGGATTCATGCGTTAGGAGTTGCACTTCGGCGTGAGCGAATGTGAGCGGGGCTGCAGAATAGACCGGACGCCATGGTTGTTGTTGTTGTTGTTGTTGTTGTTGTTGTTGTGTTGCAGAGGAAAACATTTCTTAGGTACCTTGAATACCTAGCCTAGGTACCTAGGTAAGGAGAAGCCTTAGCATCGTCAGAAAATATGAGGTGTGAACCGACGTGTTTTGCGCAAAGAAGGCGGTGGATGGTCCTTATCTCTAAGGTCTGGGGCAAGCGGTCCATCAGTCAAGAGGACGAATACCAAAATCAAGGGCCGGCAAGAAGAAAAATAAGGACGAATGATCCAATGCCAGATGGGATGATAGCTGGTGACAGAATGTGCAAGTGAAGGGTTCGCCAGCCCAGATGCTCGGTACCTACCTAAGGTGCTTGCTCTGCTTTTTGTACCTACAAGAAAGCACCTACCTACCTAGGTAGTAGGTACTAGTATGTACATAGCGATGTCTCTGGGTAGGTAGGTAACTCAGCTAAAGTACGTACTGGGCTCTTCTCCTGGGAAGCGATAAATTCTGGGAATTGGGCAGGGCGACTTTTGGCCAATGCAGATAGAATACAAGAAGCAGTGGAGGGAGAAGTATAACCATAGATACCCATGTATGCATTATACATCTTGTTTCCTTTTTTTCTCGGAACCTGAACCTGCGCTGTACAGGGCCTACCCAAGCGGTGTGGCTGCCGCACCTCGAAGCATGCAATATCCAATGGCTTGTTGCTAGTCCAACGCTAAGCCCTCATAAAATTGACTGGGGCGCCCCGGGGGGGGGGGGGGGGCTACTGGTTTGGTCATGCTTTCTTGTCACCACTGCCTCTTGTTGTCTCTTGTTTTCCCTTGTCATACCACGAAGAGACGATCATAGTGTACATGCGTCTGCAGTGGGGTAAGACAGACTTGTGCATGCGCGCGATGCAGGACAATCAGCACAAGCATCTGATAACCCAATGCAAGTCGCCGCCCCTGCAGGAACAAGCTGGTGGTTGGCCATAGCGGACGCTTGGAAGGACCGGGTCTAGGATGATGGTATTCTGGCAGAGAACCAGAGCTGAGAGCGTCCTTGCAATCCCACCCAAATGCTTGGTCAAATGAGTGACCGAGATCCACCAACCAATCAATGAGATATTGATGCATTGATGCACTGATTAGCCTCGAGTTGGTTGATGGATACAACGCAGTCGCGTCCCCTTTTGCCGATTGTCTTATTTCCTTGGGATATCGAGTCTAATTTCCTCCGCAGCCCCTTCCTAGGCACATTGGAGTCTTTTCATTCTCTTCCCCCCAATAGGTTTATTAGCTAAGCGACACCAATTAGATTGATTACTTACCAAGCAACAATCGCATGCGCTTCACGGGGAGGAAAGAGACGTATACAGCTGCTCAGGCAGAATGGCTCTCTACCTACCTACATGCCTACCTACCTACCAACCCGACCGGAGGCAGACAAAGAATGAAACGAGCATTCCTCGTGCAGACCGCTGGGCCGTGTTGTTGCGGACGGCCCAAAGCGCCTAGCGCACTTGACCAATAATCCTAGGCTGATCCCTTTCCCCCTCAAAGTCCCCTAAAACAACCCACCCTACCCCCCTTTCTTCGCCTCGGCACCACGTACCTATCCACTATCCGCTCGACAAACGATACCTTGCTTCAGTATACAGTAGCCGTACCACCCCAAAGTACCGAGCTTAGCCCAGCACGGCTCAGGTACCTACCCACTCTGTTGCTCCTACCAGCCTGTACAGTGCATTGCCTTCCCGCTTTGCCTGCCATCTCCCGTCCTCCACCTCCGTTGCCAACCGGTGCCCCAGTCTCATCAGCCCGTCCATCGCACCGTCCCCTCTCCGTCGTCTGCGCCTCTCCTCCTCCTCCTCCTCCTCCTCCTCCTCCTCCCGCCCAAGATATTATGTGCACACCCCATTCTCGTCCCTTCTGTTCTCTAACACAAGACCCAAAGACCCCTTCGTCAGCCGGTCGGGACCTCTTTTCATCTACAACGCGGAATGTGTGACTCGGTTTAACACCCACTGCCCTTTACCCTCCATATTGCCGCCCGTTCTCCCGCCCCCTCGCCTTGTGTCTGCTGCCCGTGTTGTTTGTTTGTTCGCCCCTGCTGCCACTAAAGTCTCCTCTGCCGATACCAATACCCTCGACTTTCTTCTACCTCCTCGACCCTCCCGAAAACGACATCTCTCAATAATCTTTAACACCTTCCCTTCGAAACCCACTTGGTTTCCTCCCTTGTCGAACGACCACAAGACCAAACACCAAACCGACACTACGCAATCACAATCTGTCGCTGACACCTGCAACCGTATTTTCGCCTTCTCAATTGTCCGGCCGCCCTAGAACATATCGTGCAAACACGCGACGAGCCTCATTGTTTTGCCGCGCTCTCTCCCACATTTCCTGCAGCTAATGTCGCCCTCGCCCACCTGACATCTCGGGCCCTCCGTCGTTCACCATGGAACCCGTTCCTGAGACCGAGAGAATGGAGGAGTTCCGATCCTCGCCTCTTCCCTCGCTCCGCATACAGAACCCGGCCCTCCTCCCTTCCGCCGTTGCCGAGCCCGAACCTCTGCGAAAACCTCCCACTCTGCGCCGCCAAACAGATCCAAGTCCCACTTCTCCGACTGCCCCGTCTTGGACTTTTACCCCTCTACCCTATCGGCCCCGTACGACCTCGCCCCTCTCTGGTCATCACACGAGATCGAGGTCTGCAGCGAGCTTGGCCCCTCCAATATCTCGCACACAGTCAATGCCCGGCGTCAATGCCGCTGGTCATATTCTTTTCTCTCCTCAACTTCGCCCCTCCAGCCCGTCCGGGTCGCCTAGCCGCGTCCGAACCCCGCGGAAGCCTGTCGACGAGGCGTTTCCCACCTCGCCCATCCGCACCTCAGTCTTGGAGTCGGATCGTAAGCTTACTGATCGCAACAGTTCCCCGAGCTTGATGGGAACAACGCCCTCCATGATCCTTCCCCGACACCGTCGTCCGTCTTCGCCATTACGACATCCCGGCCATTCTAGCGCTGGATCGCTTCCGATGCCCACTACGCCCACATCTGCAACAGCCTCGCCGTCTTTCAGAGGATACGATTCCTTCTCTCACGGCTATGGTGTCTCCGCTTCGTTCCCGTCCTTCCCGTCGTCGTCAGTTCCTTCTACCCCAACTTCGACGAGGTCGAGAAGCCCAAGCATTTCTAGTCTCGAGACCATACCAGACTCACCTGACGCCGAGGAAGCTGCTATGGAGGCAGAGAGGATCGCCCAGCTCAAGGCTGCTGCCGAGGCTGCCGAGGGTAGCGACACTGGAGAAAATAAGGGTAAAAGCAGTCTGGACGTACCCTCGCGGGGCAGAACGCTGGGCTTTGGGTCACGGGACAAGCGGAAAAGGTGGAGTGTTTGCGGAGCTGAACGACGGCAAGATCTCGACCTGGAAACGATTTGGGAAGATTGAAAGAAACGAAAGGTGTGCTGGAGCTATGCTGTAGCTCCAGAAAGCAGCCGAGCAGATGTGGCTGGGTGCTGAACTTGTCTCCAGCAATGAACTGGTACGCCTCGGGCACGAAACGGCATACAATAACCTCCCGACACTCACTTGTGCAGAGCGTCGATTTTCCTTGCATTGCATTTAGCATCTGATAGGTAAGGGGCATGGCGGCGTTCAGTGAACTCCTTCTGATACCCTAAACTGCATTTCACCTTTCAAGGGCACTACGAAAACATTGTCATCATAACTGGGTACTGTACTTTACGATTGCTTAGCCCCGCTGTCGTTTTTTCTCTCTCCCTATGGGGCTCGACCCAATAGTTCGAGGGCTGGCGTAGTTGGTCTGTCAATCAATGATATTCATCACATTCACGAGAACTCGATCCCTTTTGAGGGCACCCTGTTGTCCAAGCTGCCATAAACCCACTTGCCTCGCCCAACGTGAGGGTGTCTCAGTTGTGGGTCGCCCCAAGGGCGGTGCTCCTCGGCCCCCTTACACAATACTATCTTTTCCCCTTCTCCATATTTCAGGAGACGACTCTCAATAGACAGCACTCATAGTGTTCCCTCTATTCTTCAGCCCTCGTCATTGCGCAGCTCTTGGTGTTTCGAAGGATATCCTCCAACTCCCTAGGGACCCGGCGGAGGAGGCGATAACGTATAAAACCGAAATCGGGCAACGGCTTCTGGGTTGATGTTTTCCCCATTGCAACATCACCAGTCAACTATTATTCAACCACGTCATCATTGAACCCGCAGGTTTCAGTCCCGAACCCATTCCCTCCCAGGCTTTATTTCTTGCTCACGCGGCTTCATAATATTTCGCAATGCGGTACGCCCGACTCCTGGGTGCCATTTTACTCTACTCCAGAAGAGTGAATGCAGCATCGAAGGTCTCCGACGAACAGGCAAGTCAGAAAGAAAAACATATCCCGTCACAGGTTGCTAACAAGAATCAGGCCGTCGCACGTGTTATTCAAGGTCGAAACTTCCGACCAGATCCGCAATTGGGCGAATGGACCTATCCGGTCGCCGCACGGGGCCGGTTAGGGGCCCACTTTAACGGTACCGTCAACGCGACGTCGTCGGCCGGCACTGGGACGGCGGGCGCGCCCAGTAGCAGCGCCTTCAACCTGCCGCATAATATCACGTCCATCCACGCACCAGGGTGTCCTCAGAGCGTCACAACATCTACTACAACGGTCGACGTCACATTTTATATTACGGCAACAACTTCGTACGGTGGCAACTTGACGTCTTTCAGGAGCACCAGCACGGGAACTCCTCCATCCTCGTTGTCATCGCAGATCTTTGCCAACTCCACAAGCTCGACGGCTGCTTGGAATACATCTTCGAGCTTAGTTCGTCTCTCTACCGGATATATGCTGCCTGTGAACTCGTCGCACGCCTCGACGACAGTCTCGTTCACAACGGTTTCTGAATCGCCTTGCCCTGACAGTACAACCAGTCTCCCATATCACTACTCAAGCTCGTTTTTGGGAACCGGGGACTCGACCAGCACAGTCACCTCCGTGCCCGTTTGGTTTAACACTACCTCCGCTGCTCCTTCACAGACGACTGAGCCCTGTAGCGATGACTTAAGCACAACATCCCATTTGAACCAGACTTCGGCCGCTTTTAACACGCAGCTGAACTCAACTGCGCCGTGCCCCACAAGAGCATCGACGAGCCCAGCTCAGGAGACGCCGTGCGACAATGAGACCAGCAGTTCAAACGTTACTGCCACTCATACCACCGCCACATCCAGTGATTCGCACGTCAACTCGACCACCACACCCATCGCAACTCCTTTCCTCAGTAAAACCAGCAGTATCGAACAATCTACATATCATCCGACGACAATGAAGTCTGTTTATCCATCATCCACCCCAATCCCGACAGAAAGCTGCGTCATCGACACTTCCATGGTCCCCGTCACCATCGCGCCACTTACCTCGGTCCCGACCTCGACCATCATTCCCACAAAGACAGTTTGCCAGGAAGACGCGCCGACCGGTAAACCGAAGCCCGGTAATAATCATTGCGGCGTTCACGGATTGCCTGTGGGCAACTACTTCCTAGCGCGATTTGTCGAGAATGCGCCCGGTGTACCTGTAACCTTGGAGGGTTGCTACCAATTCTGTGCTGTGAGTGCCCCTAGTTCCTGGCCCTTTCCCAAGCATCTGCAATCAATGGAGAGGCTTACTGACGTACAATATTGTAGAGTGTCATGGACGCCACTAATGGCTGCAAAGCCTACCGCTTCTATCCCGAGAGGGGCCTCAACGTCCAGCGATGCGACCTCTATGGTAGCAGCGTCGCCTACGCCTTGGATTCTATTAATAACGATCACCCCGACATATGGTTTGACCTCAGTTGCGGCTCTCCATCGGACGAGAGGTGGGCGCACCTCCCCGGAATGACTCGTCTCCGGAAGCTGGGGCTGTTGGGGTAGAACAGCCTTGTTAAACTTCACCCCGACGCAATCTTGCTTATACATAGTGAGCAGCAACAACGATCTTGGCAGTAGTAATAGTAATAGAGAAGAATAGGGAGGTCGACAGGCGTAGGTCTCTGACATGAAAAGTAGGATCCGTAATGAGGAAGCAATGATGCTCCTGACAGGAAAATTAAACATTCGTACTTGGGCCCCATGTGCTTCAGAGCTCGTCTTGTGACGTTCTTCATCTAATCAAATGGTATCCTGCGAAGAGACTCGCGAACTCCCTTTTTCTTCATCTCCTGTGCCGCAGCAACACTACTCGGGACCTTGATGCCACAGCAATCGCCCCAGCCCACATGCTGGTGTTTGTGCTTGCCAACGTTCCCAGGCGAATTTTTAACCCCTCCCCCCTCATGCTCATCGTCCTCCATCTCGAAATCTTGCTCTGTGCTCATGCCATCCACTGCCGGCACGAGCGAGCCAAAGAGAAAATGTTGCATGACAGGCAGTTTTTTCAGAACCTCCGCAACAAACATCCGACGCATACCCCCTTCTACCTTGGTCCATGATTTGGCGGCAGAAATATCGTCCAACATAGGACTGTGCCATCGCAGGCCCTTAACCGTCTTGGTATCGTTAACAAAATTGACCTGGCCGAGATACAGGAAATCGTGGCTGAACTCCTCAAGCGTGAGATCCTGATGGATCGCCAGTGGCGTGATAAAGGGGTGATGGAGAAGTTGTGAAGCGCCAAATAAAAAGGGAAGAAATTGGTAGTCGTCTAAACCCCAGACGCCATGAGAGCCCGCGGGCTCCAGATAATATGTTAATTGTACGTTACGCATGAGTTCCAGATATCGCGCAAAGACCTTGAGCACAAGGGGCCGAAAGTCATCTTTGACGATGATTCGAAGCTGGTAAAGGCATAACAGCCACATGATGAAGTTGAGCTCATGTCCAGACCCGTAGTCTATTCGCATCCTGTTTCCAAAAGAGTGTTCCAGGTAGACCGTCACTTCATCGTTCGCCGCCGTGCTGACGCCCAGCTGACTCTGCCATACGGGGGCCTTCTCCTTTACCAAATCCAGGAATACTCGAAAAGCCTTATTTCCAAAGCGCGAGCCGCCTTGATCATCTGGTGGCGACTCCGTGACAAGATTGTCAGCTTCGTCGAGTATTCGCAGAATCGACTGGAGTGTAGTGCTGATTTCGCTATCTTTGACAGCAGATCGAGGTGCATCTTCGACGGATTCGGAGAGGTTGAAGACAAAAGCAAGAATAAGGCTGTAGGTGGGCGACGAGAGAAATAGTTCATGATCTTTCTGGGATAAAATCCTTCGCGAAGGAACCTTGTATGTATGATCGCGGAGGTCGGGCGGCGAAGGTAACGCGGGTGTCTCGGGGCGAGGCGTAGGGTTGGAGGGGCCGGGGCGACGACGGCGAGGTTCGAGCTTGGGGATCATTTTGCTTGGGGAGGGCAAGCACGATTCACCAACTTGCGATGTTGTATTTACTGAGGCCATGCTGTATGGGAGTGATGGCCAGCCTTTGTGGCAGAAGTGAATTCGGGGATGGTTTGTTGGGATGTTGTTAAAGAGGAAGCTGAACGGCTCCCCAGCGGAACGAAGAACGGCACTTGAGACACCGGCGTCATCTGCCGCCTAGAACTGTACGAATAGAGCTGTTCAAAGACTGCCCCTCCGCAGGTATTCACCTCGGCCCCACCTCACCATCCCAAGGTGCCTACTTACCTGTACCTTCTTGCCTTTGGATCATTTGCCATTGGTGGGGCGCCTATCTTAGTAAACAAGTACGTACTCGCTGCTTCACCAGCTTCATCTCAATTTTTCCTTCCTCGAGGGTGTCGAAGTGAGGCAATCAAGTCACTCAACCATCCCGGCAGCACGCAAATTTATTTATTCTTCCCGGGCGCCCAGACTCATCAGAAAAGATCAGGACTCAGTTTATCTGACCACGATCGAACCACACGAACCCATTATCACTATTCGCCATGGCCCAAAACTCAAATCCCCAGGCTCGCATCTCACACCTGCCACGAGCAGATGGTTCGGCAACCTTCTCATGGGGTGGTTATTGCGTGGTTTCGTCCGTCAATGGGCCGATTGAAGTGCAAAGACGAGATGAAAACCCCTTTGAATCGGTTGTTGATGTTGTCGTGAGACCTGCTGCAGGGGTCGGAGGTCAGACTCCCTGGTCATTGGCAACTTGCGGAAGTACTTGCTCACGCTCACGATGAGTATTTAGGCACGGGAGAACGCCAACTCGAAAAAATTTTGCAGTCTGCCCTCCGTCAGCTCATTCCCGTCAACAACTTTCCTCGATGTCTCATCCAGATCACACTTCAGGTGACGGAAACCCCCCAAAACGACTACGCGAACAGCAAAGTTGTCCAAGCTCAGTCAGTAAGTACTAGGCTCGATATCCAAGCTGGCGGCCACTACGTAAGGTCTTTTCTCAAATATAGGTGCTGACTAGCTGCTTTCCGCAAAGAGTTTGATTCTCCTGCCGGCTCTGTTCCACAGTGCCGTCTTGAGTTTGCTGTCGGCCGCCGTGCCCTTGAAAGCTATTGCCACGTGCACTACGCTGGCCATCCTAGAGGACGGCAGCAAGATCATCGCTGACCCGTCTCCTCTGGAGGCAGACCAGGCAAAATCTCTCCATGTTTTGAGTTTCACATCGCAGAACGACCTGCTGCTGGCGGAGAGCGAGGGAGCCTTTACCATTGCCGAGTGGGATAAAGTGGTCAGTACAGGTCTGAAAGTTTGCAGCCAGCATCGCGAAGCGGAACTTGGCTCAGGCATGCACGAAGAAGGCCAAGACTGGACCGACATGCGGCAGTTCATCCGGACAGTAATGGAAGCCAGAGCTGCGTAAGAATCAGCTCATTCATTGAAGCAGGCAGGGATCTTGGAACAGCTGGGCAACTAGAGAGGCCTTGACGTGGTTACAGAGAAGCTACGATCCGGAGGGGTTAGTAACATCGAAAAGCACGCTCGACAGCGAAGACGACACCCCCCAATAGCAACATGCACATCCGACTCCTCGGCCAATAGGGGAAAGACGTAGCCAGTTGTCGGCTGATAGGATGACACGCCGGGGGAAGTGACAAGATGAGACGGCCGACAGGGGGTGGCAAAGGCGATTGCTGATGAGCGTCCACCGAGGCGAGGGGCCGAGGGCTGGCAGGCCATTGTGTTGAACGGCACTACAGGTCTTCAGATGTTACGATGGATGGAGAATCTGGAAGCAGCAGCAACATGATGAGGCGATAAGGAATCAGTATTCCCTGCACTGGACGACGAGCGGAAACGACATTGGACGGACAGCGATCCAAAAGTCATGTGTCATGACGAAGTGGGGCATCTGCTAATCTGCTGGGGATGGCGTGGGTTTGGGGCCGTTTGGGATTTGCTAGACCGCAGCGTTTCAGCTCGACTTCAGGGAACATGAAGAGGGGCAGGTACGACTTTGGCAGGCCTTACTCCAGGAGCTGCATGGTGTTTCTAACCAGGGCGTCTCCAAACTAGAAACAACTCCGTGGCCACCTAAGCTACACTAAAAGCAGTTTTCGCATTACCTGCTGCACCGCTGTATCTATTCTATCTTCCACAAATAATGATACCCCGTATGTCCCGACCCTCTTTGCCGGCCGCCTTACACACCTGCATCAGTTGGATGCCGCGCAGGGTGTGCTTGACATTGCATTCTGAGCAGACGATCTGCGTCTACCAGGCCATCTCGAATTTTTTGAATTCTTTTCTCCCCCCCTTTCTCCGAGTCGGTTGGTTTAAAGGGCCCTGCGCTGCCAAGCACAATCATCGGAATCCGGGTAGCACGATAGATTGATTACCCACGGCGCTTTGGGTGGGGGTTAAACGTAATTGACTTGGCATGGATGGGCAACGGGCGGAAAGACGACATACCTACTTAGGTATGCCCAACTTCCCTTATTCAGTGTGTGGTGTGTCCTCCGATCCTTCTTCTTCACCCTTTGATTCCCCCACTTGCTGGTTGTCTAATATGGGACGTGAAAAATGCACATAATAGGAAGAAAAACACGCCACTTCGGCTGTGTTCCAGAGCAGTGGGCCTAGATCTGTTGCCGGTATGTAGTCCGAAGGTTTAGGGTGCGCTTCTAGCTGCTTTATCGGAGAGGATACTTCTCTCAGCCTCCACCCAAAGTATGAATAGCATACACAGTAGGGCGTTAGAACATCCATCAGTCAGTAGCGCCTGCAGACCGACTTTGATATAGGTACCTTGCTACGACAGGTAGCAGTTGCTAGCCCTGTTGTACACTACGTGGCCACCTACCTACAGGGGAGGGCACCAAGGTACATACACTCATCCACACGCACACACCCTTGCTCACGTCACAAAGCGAAGGGGGGAGACACAAGAAAAGTGGACGGCGTTTGATCCGCAACAAGTCCAAACCAGGACTCGACTCCTTTCTTAATCCAGTGTACCTATGCACCGCTGACAAAGACAACAACAACAACGACGACGACGACAAAGGCATGTCAACAGCGTGCAGCAAACCAACCCTCATGCAGGGTCACCAAATCTTTCCCCATAGGCAGTTGAAGCTCGCACCCACCGCTGGTAATACAACAGTATTGTCTAAGCCATGGTTCATTCTGAAGTGAGGCTTGGCTCTCGGCTCCCCTTGTGTTGGCCCGAGTCTTGTCGTCGTATCTTCGCTACAGAGGCTGGCCCTTTCCACATTTTCACTGCCTACAACCGTGATCTTCCCGTTAAGTGAGACGTTCCTCGATGCTTCTCCATAGCCATCGAGCCGGCTAATGTCACATCATCTCGGACGGCAGCCATGATCAACAGCCACCACACCATCGTCGCCATCCATCGTCACGAGTCTCCCTCACCCCGTGGGTTCGTCTTGTCTCTCTGTCCTGTTCTCGACGAACCGCACTTCATGTCTCGGAAGGTTGAAGCGGCACAGGCTCAGCAGTTGCAGATAGTCAAGGCTTGAGCTCTCGAGACGCAGCAGCATAATACAGGCGCCACCGCGGGATGATCTACTTAGGCCTGCCATTGCCCAAGACTGAACCTAAGTCAAGAAGCCGTCTACGTGCCAGGCTGGAGTTGAGGCCCGACCCGGCGGCGGATTCTTGTGCTTTGAAGGCTCTACCATACCTCGCAGGGGCTGCACACAAGTGGTGCAGTATGTGTAGACCTCGGCCCGCTTATCGTCAACAGTACACTAGAGATCAATCTGTGTGGCGTACAAGTTATGATTTGAGGCGATGGTAACCATTCCAAACCCCACCGTTTCTTCAAAACACTAAACCCCTTCCTCGCCTGGCAGCGAGCGTCCCAGGCGCAAAACTGCACCGGTCGAGTAGTATTACAGGGCGAATGAAAGCACATGACATCGTTCTGTCGCAACCAGCCAACGAAGCGCGTTGTTTGTGCCTTGTCGTCGTCAAACAGCCGCAGCATTTGCTCTATCTACGCCGTAGCCGTCTCGGCACATTGGATGGAATGCTCCTCTTTCAGCCTCAGGACTTCTGGCCGCATGATGATGTTGTACATCAATTGGTTACAAACAGCGCTTAGCGTCACTGTTACTCGTTCGGGATGCCCCATCATCTGTCGTTGTCCTGCTCTGTTTTGCTGGAGAAAAGAGGGGAGCTGTTCCAAATCCCAAGGGCCTCCGACGTTGAAAGTCGTGCACGGGTCTGAAGTGACTCGGCGCTATTATTGGTGGCGATGGATCGTCTACTGAACACGACCCAGACTTGAGTAGATGGGTATTTGGTACTGATACAAGCGTGACCCGAGCGGCGACCCGAGCGGGTAGACGATACAATTGGTGTGTCTTGTACAGTATTTCCTCTTCAGGATTGCCGGTGATGGGGATCCTGTGCTTGGCTTGTCAACTCGCATCCTGGCATAGTAGCAGTCCTCCAACCATTGGGGGGGGAGGGCCTTACCGATGTCAGACCGATCCCTGTTCTTATTTCCTTCCGCCTATACGTAAGGAGGCTCCAGGAGGAAGGGATCGAGAAGGGGTCGGGCAGGGGAACGTACCGCCCGTTTGACCATCCACCTGCGCCTGGCATTTGCAACTTCACTTCCCAATCTTAAGTTTGGGGACTCTCACTTCGCAGTACGTACCGATTCCATAGACCATACCAGGCTGGGTCTGGAAGGAGCCACCTAACCGGATGGAGTACGCGTATACCCTAGGTACGTATCTCATTAGACATGGATGGCAAAGGCGCGTACTGCGGATGCTGGGTTATTGCAGACAGTATTAGCACACGATTGGCGAAATACGGTGGTTTGATTTCTAATTAGGGGTTTGGCAAGTTGCACGCGAGCCTAATAGTCAACGCATGACAAGGACATTGTGGATAAGATGTTGGTGAGGAATGGGAAGCGAGAAGTATACGATGTATGAGGAAGACGGAAACGCAAGATAATGATGGGTTATAACAGGTACACCTACCTTGCAGGTACCCAGTGTTGCATGTACCTCATGGAATAACGAGTGGATCACTCCCAGTAGTCACAGAACAGAACAGGGTGCGTAACGTAAGCTTGGGGCAGACGTCGTGGCGGGAGCGCCCTCCGTCGCATCGCACCCATCCTCATGCGTGATTCGATCGGCATCGAACTAGAAACTGGACGGTAAAGGGGGATAGGGGCAGGAAGCGAGAGATGCCTGGCTATCGTACCTAGCTAGATAGAATATTAAAGCTCCCGCACTGCTGGGACGG